GTCTTTTTGGATTTTGTTTTGTGTTAAACTGAGAAATTAACTTAAATTTTCGGGTAATGGATAATTAAAGAGGGTTCTTTAACTTTGTCTCGAAACGACAAACACAACATCCTTCTCCGGAGCGACAAACACAACATCCTCCTTCAAAATGATGGACACAACATCCACCCTCGAAGCAATAGATGCAACATGTAACAACCCGATCCTTAAATAATATTTAACTAATATTTTATTAGAGAAAAAGACTAGTATACCCTTAGAATATTTTATTAGGTTTTAAGATGAAATTTTGACCGGGATGGAATTTGGGAAATCCACTTGTACCATTGCGTAAAGCGCGTCGAAACGAGTCCGCAGACACGCAATGGACTCAAATCCGAGTCGTATTGAAGAAAATACGATCAAAATAAGAAAAAGGGCCAAAATCGTAATTTGAGAAAATCAGATTTTTAAAATATGTTTTCTCCTTTCTCTCCCCTCACTCTCCCTCTCCCTCGCGCGACCTCTCTCCCTCTGCATCTTCAGCCGATCACCACCAATCTCCCAGCCACCACGACACCACCACCCAGCCGGTTGGACCAGACCAGAACGGAGCGCCACCGCCTCCGCACCTCACCCCAGACCCTCCCTGCCGTCCAGCTGCCACGAGCTCGCCGGAAAAACTAGAAATCGCGTCAGTTTTTAACAGATTTTCGTCGGCTCCGTTCGTAGTCTTCCGGCCACCAAATCGGACAAATTAGGTATGGTTTTTCGACTGATTTCATGCTCTAACTGATGGCTGGGTAGGTTTTGAGAGATTTTGAGGTTTGAAGGGTTGATTTACGAGTTGAGTTTCTGCCGAGTTTAGGACGCTGATATCAGCCACTTCCGGCCATTTTTTGGCCATAGTCCAAGAACAAAAGTGGTTCCAAATAGGTTGTATTACCTAGGACAGGAGTTTGGGCCGACGATTTGGAGAAAATCCGGCCACCGGAAATTGTTAGGCACACCCACGCCCGGCCGGAGCGTGGGCGGCGCATGGGCCAGGTAACAGGGACCACTCTTGGTCCTAGGATAATCCTCGTGTCCTCACAAGCGCGTAGGATTTCACGGATCTCAATTCGGATAACGTTTGAACCCCGAACGGATCTCGCATAGTGTGTGATTTCCGGGTTCAATACGTTCAGACCATTGGATCGTAGTCAGACTGGAGTATGTCGATCTCGGTACTTTCATGATCGTGTGGGATTTGACGGATTGTGAATTGGAGTCCCAGATACTCCGAAAAGGCCAACCGTCCGATCGAGACCAAACTCTCGGGACATGTGTCCTAGGCTAATCGAAACCTCTAGGAACGATCGGATCAAAATTCTGAGGTCGTGGACCCCACGGGGTCCCGAGTTGACTTTTTGGGACCTTATCGCTTTCGAGTCCCTAGTTACTTCTAAGTCATTCCAAGTGAGAGGAAAGCTATTGTGGGCTTAGGAATGACCTTTAAAGTGAGGCACGCACTTTTAGGAGCCGGGGGTCAGGGTTGTAATTTAATATTATTTTATTGTGCATATTTATTAATAAAATATATTAATGGTTATTCAGGCACCCGGGCACCAGGTGACCCGCATGAGGGACCTTTGAAGGGTCCAGCTAGCTCAGATCACCTGTGAGTGGACTGTTTGTTTTATAAATGATTTTATATGATTTATTTCATTATTTGATCTTGAATAAGTTTTATTCAAAGATTAGAGTTGCATAATTATTATATGCTTCTAAGTACTTCAATTTATTAAATTGCTGCTGAGTTGAGAATCCTTAAAGGAAAGGAAAAGTATAAATGGGGATAGTTATCAGATTGAGTGGTAGCAGGCTTTAAGGTTTTTTTTAAGACCTAGTTTTACAAAATTCTAGTTATTTTCAGAAAAGGTATATATATATTTCAGAAACCACCATAGGTACCCAAGATTAATTAAGGTTGCCTTCGGTATAATAAATGTTGCCTTCGGTTATAACGATATCTACGGACATCCAGTTGCCTTCGGTATTATTGATGTCGACGGACATCTAGTTGTCTTCAGATATGTCAGCATGCTTGACTTACGCTCTGCGAGTCCTAAGAGGTACCAGGGACCCTGGGAGCGAGGTATGCGGATCAGGCCGACTACGTGTCCCCTGAATTCTGCTAGGATTGCGGTTCGGGTTGACTTTGTGTTTCCCGAGGTCTGCTAGGACGTGTCACTCCGGTGGCACGAGAATGGAATTGACGGATTATAAAGGAATTGACGGAATAATAAATGGGTACACCTAGGTGGTAGATTTAAAGTTGATTTCAATGCTTTCAAGGACTTAATGTTTTAATCAAGGGTGTGATTGACTCTATATTTATAGATATAAATATGAATGCATTGATTCCAGTACGAGTATATATATAAGAAATGATTTAGTTTTATTACAGTTTTTACAGAGGGGTTAGTATGTTCATATTCTATTTTCTAAACTTTGTTTTTGGTCCACTCACCCTTTTAATGTTTTGCGCCCCCAGGCAGTAGATGTGCTTCAGTTCGCCACCACCGGGTCGAGCCCACCTTTCGCCATTTCTTTGTACCAACGTAGGGTTTTGTATAATTAAATTATACTTGTAATCTTCTGTATAGAGCTCTGATATTGCCCTTGAAGCATATTCAACTGTTAGAATGTAATTATTTGCATGCTGGCAGTTGGTGTTTGTTTTCTTGTGCTTGTCTGACAAGTGTAATGTTAGGATTGGTCTAAATGCAGGGAAGACTCTGCTGAATTTTCGGTAGAAGTCAAAGCCCTAGTTTTATTTAAAATTCGACTATAAGGGCAATCAAGTCAATTGTGTTTGGCACTTGCCAGGTGTTGGACACGCACAAGGTCCGGCTCGGATTCCAAAGTGGAATTTGGGTCGGGTCCTGTCACAACATCCTTCTCCAAAGCAATATGCACAACATCCTCCTCCGAAGCAATAGACACAATATCCTCCTCTGAAGCGATAGACACAACATCCTCCTCATGTTCGTGTAGCTTCTTCTTGTTTGTGCCCAAAATACGTGATCTATGCCAAATATAGGAAAACTCAAGATATTCTTGAAGATATTATCTCGGTTTTATGAGATAATCCTAATATGGCCAAGATATGGCTAATATTGGTTTAATTTGAAACCAAATAAATATTAGGTGGTAATTATCGTCTTCCCAACTAATGGTGATTTGATATGATTTGTCAATGATATTCATGAGCTAGAAAAAGGAATTATTATGCAATTAGAGGTCTTGCATATCAAGTAGTCTTGCCCATCAAGTAATCTTGCCAATGGATCATTCACCATATAAAGAGGATCAAGAGAAGAAGAAAGCCATCAACTCTCCCAAAAGCGCAACATATACAATATGCTTCCCACATCAGTCTTATAGCTCTGCCAGTTTCTATTTCCAATTGACGTGACATTTCAGTTGTAATTGTTCTCATCTCTTGCTCAAGTTCTTGCCATCTTTTGGCTTAATTTTTGAGTTCTAACAGGCGATCACCAAGCTCTCCGACGAGAAGTTGAACTTTCCAGGAGTTTTGACTAGTTTCCACACGATCTGAGGCAATCTCAAGTGGTCATAGTCGTAATTCCGACCAAATCCCGCTGTTTTGGCACCTTTTGTTGCTTTATTTTGCTTTCCATTGATTTTATTCTTATACTAGGAAAATAATAAAGTCCTCATTTGGATTGAGGCATAGAAAATAACCAATCTAAACTAGTTCCCCTCTCATAGCACAGTGGTTTGATTAGAAATTTGTTTATCCGAGGCACATATTATTAATATATTCATATTTCTATTAGGCTATTTCTCGCACTAATGGTGGCACGCTTGCACGATTTGATCTCTTGGCCTATTTCATATCAACTCCATTTTTAAGATTAAAAAAAAAAACAACGAGCACAAATCTATGACGCAATAAATATGAAAGAAGGTGTTTTTTCTTCATTTTGTTGAGCCGTTTTCTGAATCTACGACACACGAACATAAAGAAAATCCATAAAATCTGGACAATAATTCCTAACAGCTTCATTTACTTCATCAGCCAAAACAAAAGGCTTGTATTTAAACTCCAAGTAATGGTGGTACACATTCCTCAACAACAACACCAACAGCAACAAAAAAAAAATTCCCTAACCCTCCAAGCATCACTGTCATCACTAGATCAGGAGCAGGATCCCCTCTTTCTAGGCGACGAGGAGGAAGCTGATGAGTGACGATTGCCCTATCTCTTAAAAGGGGTTTGGAACTTAGGCAAATCATTTTGTTTAAAAAAAAAAAAAATAGCTGTAAGTAAGATGGGGTCTTCTCATTAGATTTAGGGTGGTTCAAATGGCGAGGATGGGTGAGTCGATATTTTGGCAAAAGCTTAGGGAGAGGCGATTGGGGGTGTGGGTGAGGATGGGTTAGCTTAGGGTGGGGTTAAGGGCTGCTAGGGCGGGGGAAGAGGAGCGAGTAAAGAATGAGAGTTTTTTTTCCTAATTTTTGAAAATTTTTGTTTGGTTATTTCGAAAAAAAAAATTTATAATTTTTTTATATTATTTGTGGACCCACATGCACATCAGCAGTTAACAGACTTGTTATCAGAAAAACGAACGAGAAGTATGAAAGTGATAGAAAATTAAATGTCATATACGAAAGTGAGACAAAAAAAAGTTCATGTTGCAAAGTAAGTTGGGAAACTTCAAGGTAATAAAGTAAAATTGCACATGGGGTGGCACCACAGTGGAAAAGTAGGTCAAACTCTCCCCTCCCCGCAAGTGCACCCGGATTTGATTCACGTAGGATACAATCTTGAGGCAATCCAATATATTCATTCCCCTCCCTAACAAATGACAAAAAAAAAAGGTAGTAAAGTAAAAGTATCCTATAAAAAATAAATTTATTTTAAAAAATTTTAAGAAAAAAAAAAAAACTCCATCCACAATACAAATGTTGCAAAACGTCTGGGACCCTTTGTTCTTACCCAATATCCTAGTCACCAATTCACCAACGATCCAAGACGGCCACAAATGGATGCTTTGTCAGCAGCCTTCGTTCTCTTCCCAAAGTCCAAAATTTGGTACAGCCAAAAGTCCCAACTTCTCATACTCACGGAGGAACACTTAACAAACAAGCATAACTCGGTTTTCCAGATCTCCCTCACTTCCTCCTAGTCGCAGACTCACAATGAATCACGCTCTTGCCATCATTTTCACCACTCTAAGTACCCACCCAACCCAACATCTCTTTTTTATCTGCTCCGTTCTGTTTGGTTACCGGGAAAATGTAGAAAAATGAGAAGAGAATTGAAATAAGTTGTTTTGATCATAGTGTCTGGCGTATGAACATAGGCCTAGTACAACTATTTTTCTTACTTGGGTTTCCATTATTTGATCATATAACCCATTAAACGGATGATTAAATTCTCAAACTAGTGATGGAGCTTCTCAATCTTCAACCTTTTTCAGGCTTGCTCAAAATGGCAATGGCTGAAGAGGAATTTTGCTCTGCTCCTTCAATCGTTGACTCGGGTTCGAACTCAATGCATTTGTATTGGAAGGTCACCAATCCCACACTTTCTCCTTCTCATCTTCAAGGTCAGTATATAGAAATCTGTATTTTGCTTGCAATTATATGTGAAGGTGGTTTTTGTTGGTGAATGGTGATTATTAGTTTGTAGAGTAATCAGAAGCATGGAGCTGGGTTGGTTTATCTTTAATCCCATAACATGTGTTTGGTTGCTGCGGAGAGAAAGGAAAAGAAAAAATAGTCCAATTTTGGCCAAAATTTTGCTTATAAAAAAAATGTTGAAAGTAAGAAATAGTTCATGGGATGCTTTGAGACTGTGTAATTGCATGTTTGGTTTAAGTAGCAATCAGAGGGAGCTAAAAATGAGACTTGTTAAACTTCATTCTGTGCTACGTTTTCTATTTTGTTTCTTAATATTATTTACAACCAAAATGCAGCTAAGGGACATTTAAATATTAGCTGAGGTTTATTTGGGTTCTTTCTTCTCAGACTTGCCAGGATTTACTCGTAGTGTTTACAAACGAGACCATGCTTTAATAACACCGGAAAGTCACGTCTTTAGTCCTTTACCTGAGTGGTACTTTCTACTCTGCATTATGATAAAAGTTCCTCTTCACTGCTGCAGTAATACAGATTGCTCTTCGTTATGATATATTGTTAGAATGGTTCTTCTTCACTGTTACAGGACCATGACATTGGGAGCCTATTTGATAACACCGGCTATGGGATCACACTTTGTAATGTACCTTGCGAAGATGCAAGGTTGGATGCACTGTGCTATGGTTGTGACATTCATGTTACTACATGGAATTGGAATTTGTTAATTGACGTTTATTTTCTCCAATGTGCAGAAAACTCACTATCTGGACTCCCTCCATATGATGCTGAAAGGTGTGGGCATCTTCTTTTTCTCATTTTTTATTTTTGCTATAGGATAGTTAAGTATAAGATTTCAGGATTTACTTCATAACTTTATTACTCTCTTATTATTTCCTACTAGCTAGGTTCATATTTGTGGTTCAGGGTGCTGTCACTCTCACTAATGTCTCTGGTATTAGCCACAAATTAACGGTAAGAAAGCTCGATATATTTTCATCATGAGATTGCTAGTTTTGGTGGATATTAAATTTGTATGACTCATTATTAATTTAGTACATTTGTCCTTTATTTTTCTTTTCAAATATAAATCATGTTTGGGTCACCCATTTTTGCACATAATCGTATTTATTGTCACTTTTTTAAGTTACACATATTATCCATTTCGCAACTATCCTATTTCTTAATGTGCTTTTATAATATGTTGTGTTTCAAGTATCCTGTGTACATTCTGTTTAACTCACCCACTAGGGGTTGTCTGATAACATTCTTTTTAAGAGATCAGAGAAGTGAGGATCCATGTGAAAAAGAAAACTTTGGACACTGATTGGTAGCAACAAGCATGAAGAGAAAGGTTAAAGGGTATGAAAGAGAGAATGAACAGAATGGAAAATGAGAGGGGAGAAAAGAGAGGATAGAGGAGAGAAGCTTTATAGAAATTGATCCCAACTTGATATATGAACATCTTAACACCACTTAATTTCTACACTTAATTAATTGATTTTTGGCATTGGGATGTATAAGTACAATGAAAGCAGCTAGAAGTCTGATATATTATTGAATTGCGTGAAAGAGAACATAAAAGTGTGTCATTATTTATCAATTTCTGCAACACCAATTACTAGTACTAGTAGGAATGTATTACATTGTTTTTATAGACAATATGAATGCTGCAAGTATGCATCTATTGCACCAACCAAGGACTCTAGATATCTGACAGAATGCTGCTTTGTTTCTAGTGCTTTTCGTAATGATGTTCCAAGTATTTTTCCTTTGTGGTAGAATAACGACATATCTAATTATCTGTGAGGTGGTGGTGCTCTGGTGAATTTTCATTAAAGGTGAAAAGAAGTCTGATTTCGTTCATATATGAAACACAGGTGGATTCATATGCTTATCTGCCTCCTAATTTTGATCATTCCCTCAAGTGTGATGGATCTGCCACTCTTGTGGTATTTGAAAGAAGGTTTGTCTCCCCATGCATTATGATTACTTGATGAACATATAGTACACGCAAAATCACCCTTACATGGCACTAATGCTATTTCAAAAATTCAAATGGAGTGAAAAACTTCATCTATCCTAGACAGTTTTCTTGATAATGAAACACTACTGAAACCAATAATGTTTTTCTTAGGAGGTCGCGATTTTACTCATCTCATTACCATTTCCTCACTTTCCAATTAACCATTATAGTAGTCTTCAAGTGGCTAAAGTGCTCTTTGATGCTTCCGTATAGGCATGCTTCTCTGGAAAACCAACCTACTGACCAGATTGTAGGTTCAACAGACCAGCAGCCACTCCTGGAAACTCCAGGGGAGGTAAGTACTGGATTTTTATGTAGGGTTGTTTTGATTGTTTATATCATTGCAATTTAAAATAAATTCAGAAAGAACCACCTATGGAATTATGTTGTGGATGTCTAGAATTCAATCCTTGAAACATATTAGTGAGGAAATCTCTCCACCAGATATAATTTTCTTCTTCTTGCGAATTAGATTATTTATGTTTTTGAGAATTAAGTAATGCGTAACTGTACCTTGTTGATACACACTGACATTTAATATATACATTCTTATTGTTTAACTTTAGTTGGGTTTGGTGATGATGATATATTTAAGCCTTCATAGCCTTGTGTTTCACTTATTTTTTTACCCATTATTAGGTCTTTCAATTAAGGAAGCTTATTCCAACATCTATACCCTATGACTTCAATATCCATGTAAGTCATCATTTACTTATCTGTGTCCAATCTTTGTATTAATGCTCGCCACCCTCTCTAATAGTTTTCAGCATTTTTGGGACCTTGCCTGCAGATTATGGATTTCCAGCCTGGGGAATATCTTAATGTGAAGGTATTAGTCTCTTCCTTGCTGATTAAGTTTATTGTTTTGTGTTCCATGATTCACATTCAAAAACTTTATTTTGGGCTTTAAATTTTGTTTCTTTTGGATTGGAATTAGTTTTAGTTGAGGTATGCTGATGCTCTTGACTTTTGTTTGGTCACTCCTGTAAAGAAACATAAAAGTTACTAAAGCTTAACGCCATACTAATTTTGCCTTTTCTGGTGCTGGCTTTCTTTATTTTTTCTTTAAAAAAAATTAATACTTCTTTCTCTTAAAAACTATTGTTGAGTAACTGACTTGAAATTATCTGTTAAGGCTATCCTCAATATCCAAAGAGTTCTTTGCGATGACATATTTCTACCACCCATTACTTTTGGAATGTTTAGCTAACAAGCATGATATCTATTTTGTTGCTTGCCTCAACCAATCGAGAGAAGCACTGGAATCAACAATTGCCCACTAATGATTGAACCTACAATCACTGAGTGAGGAAGCCCTGAAGTTTTTGAAAAGAAATATTCAATTGACTTGTGAATCACTTTTTAGTTTGTGAAAAGCTTTATTTAAAACTTGTTGAAATTTGTTGTACTTGTAATATTTATTTGGGTCTCCAGCTTGAAAAGGCTTTCCTGTCAAACATTGCAGGAGGTCCATTACAATCAGCATGGTTTGCTGCTTCTGGAGGGACAGGGTATTTATCGCTTAGGTGATAGCTGGTAAGCGTTCCGTTCACTGTTGATACTGCATGAGATTTTACTTTCATTACTTGCTCGGCAATTTTATGAGGTATGGTTATAATATTTATCATTTCATATGCTAGATGTGCATTAGAGTTTGTTACCATGCTTGCAAATGCAAATGGAATTATCAACGAAACTAAGAAAGTGAAAATTGCTGAATAAATGAAAGAATATACTCCTCACATGACACATCACTAAAAATCATACCCGTCAACTCTCCAGGTGGATCACTCTTTGTAAACAGTCCATCGAAAATAGTTGCCTATAATATCAACCATAGATTCTACTTCTTGTGCATGAAATCAGTCCCTGAAAACAAGATGACGGCATATGAGTTTTGTACCCCTTACCAATCATAAAATTTCTGGGGAGCCATGTCTTCCTCTTCTAGAGTGTCTGGCAATCAAATGAATTGCTTGTTTGGTTTTTCTTATCAGTTTTCAACTTATGACAGCATTCTACCCGCAGTTCTAAGCTTTACGTTTACCACTACTTTAACAAAGTCTATTCTCGTTGCATATTTTGATGACTATTCTGTAAATAGGTACCCTGTTCAAGCAGGTGATGTCATTTGGATGGCACCGTTTGTGCCTCAATGGTGAGTGAGGAAAGAAATGCATAATTATTGATTTCCATTTAATTTACAAGGAACTTTTTTCTTTCTATTTCCACATTGTAATGTAACCAAAGCAAATAGATTTGTAATGCAATTTGCAACTTCTACAGGTATGCTGCACTGGGTAAAAGCCGGTCACGATATTTGCTGTACAAAGATGTGAATAGAAATCCACTGTAGTCACATATATCGTTAGGATGTCAATTTGTACTATTTATCAAGACAGATTTGTGTACTGGAACGCGAATGACAATCTTCCATAGCCTCTGAACTTTGTACATTAATGGATTAGCTAGTAATTTTGAAGTTGTCTATAGATGCATTTAGTTGTGACAGATAACCTGATACAGAAGACCCTTTCTGTGGTCTTACACTAGAAAGTTCGGGGTAACAAAAATAACTATAGAATTAGAATTGGAAAACGGGTAAGGACAATTCAACATTTAACCTGCATCACCATACAATACTGTTCTTGTCCCACACCACAATTATCTTGTGATCCAAACCGTTTACTTTTTAGATCTTTATTGAAATATCATCTTTCCAAAAATCTACTCATAATTCAACCACGCTTATCAATGGCTTGTTTGGAAGTGATTCTGGAAGGGCCAGAATCACTTATGGTGAGAAATATTTATGACAATAATCAAGTGGCGAAATGAGTTCCAATTCGGAAGAAATTTTGCACTGATAATCTTTGACGGATTAAAACCTACTCCTAGGCCTAGCTATAGGCAACTATGGAATACCATGCTAGCGTGATCATAATTATGGAATGGAATGGAGCACTTTATAGGTTAGCTTTCTGCTTGATCCAGGTTGTATTGTCTTCAGAGCTAGTCACACCATTCATTAAGAGAAAATAATAATAAAAGTTCTGAAATCCTACTTTATTAAGAGAAAATAAAATTATTGTTTGCAGCTTATAAGCCAAACATGTTGTTTTCCTAGGTTTAAAATAAGGTCATGGTAAGGTCATGGTGCTAGCTGGGCACATAATAATGGAAAGTACACTATCAGATTCTAAGTAAGAGGACCAAATCCAGTGAAAGAGCTGCACCTTTGCTCGAAGATCGAAAGACTTAATTATATATATGAGCCGCAAAAAATTAAAGTTTCCTCCGTAGGCCACTTGAGTTTCAGCCTTTTAAGGCAAATGTATGAGGTATAAGGTTTTAAGCTAAACCACATGCATAAAGGTTAATCAGAGTGTGTTTGCTTTCGGGAGAGTTTGCATTTAGAACGTCTGAGTTTACAGCTCACCGCATAGTGGCACCTGGGGCACTTATTGGTATTCAGTTACCAATCTATGACAGCTACGTACATTTCATTAAAAGAATTCTCTTGTAGGTACAAGTTCTAATCATGAAAAAAAAAAAAAAAAAAGGTGGGAAAAGTAAAACTGTTTAAATTTAATCAAACCCTGTATCTGATCTTTCAAACCCATGCTAGCTTCAGCATATTGCAGTTGTGAGAAATTAGGACAATATAAAAGGTAAAGTCTTGGATGTGATATGAGTCACACGACTAACTTAAAAATGAAACAAAATTGATATTTCAGTTAATTTTTAAGACTCCTTCAAGGTACTCATTATACAAATATAATTTTTCACTGTGGGTAGAGTTTAATATGTTAAAATGGATATTATATCAATGTACGTATAGAGAACTGCTAGTGTCAGTTGTACTCATTCATGAAATGGCGATTAAAAAGTTGAAAACTATATATTGATAACTATTTTGGTGACCTTATAATAAATTTCATACCAGCAAATGGTTCGAAGGGCAATTGCGACGGATCGATATGCTAGCAAAACTTCGATTTAATGGATGAGTTTGAGAACAGGAAAAGCTCTTTGCAACCGCTGATGATTAGCATTGGTGTTAAAGCTGTTCTGGGTTCTACCCTCATTATTCATGTCTTACATGAAGTTTTGAAAAGCTTTCTATATATGATTCAACTTCATGTACTTCATAGGAAAAATGCGTGCCTCTCTAGGTATAGGCTACTATATATTCAATCAAAATCTTGTAAAAGCAAAAGATTGATTGCTCGTCCAGAGCATGAACCACACCGAAAACCCTACTTTTTTTGCAAAATATATAAATTTCCTACGCAAATAAGGCAAGTAGTACACTTTCCATGGGTAATGTGCTACGCATGGGATAAAGAAATTATTAGATTGTCTCTGGCGTGGATGATGACCAGACTATTTTATCAAGGCCCTTTTGTTTTTTGTTTTTTAATAAATTTATTGTTGTTTTTTTTTAATGTCGAAAGTAGATTAATGCTCTTTTGTTTTGTAGGTATAAATGGATGGGTTCTTTTTAATGATGGCAGACCAAATTTTCATCTTAAAAGAAATATTTTGATAGGTTATATCTTTGTCTTGTGTTATTTTTTGGTTTAGTATTTGCCGTCGTAGTTTTATGCATCAAAAGATGACGGTCAATTTTACGACGGTGAATTCCCATCGTTTATTGAGATTTTTGTAGTAGTGATATATGCAAACAATTCCTTAAGTACTGTTATTAACCATCGTTTTCATTACAGCTAGAATTAGTCATACTTTTAAACTCTTCCTTTTTTATGGAAAATTTAAAGCCTAATTTTAAAGTGAAATACAAGGACAGAAATATTCAGAAAAGTAAGAGTTTACATATTTATGTGGAATCTTATCTTATGTTGATGTGTATGTTCACTGGCACGATGAAACTTCCATTATGGTTTGCTGAGAAATTCTAGGACACTGCATGTCAATATTCAATGCATCAATGGTCTCTCCTATCCGACCACTCTTCGGGGGGTTGTATTGAGAATATATGCCACATTTATATGGAATATTTGGAAGTGAAAGTATCGTATGATAATATATATAAGATTTGAGTTTCTCGAAAAATTATATATAACATCACGTGACATGTTGTGTTACAAATTCAGTTAGATTAACATATATTGAGTTTAAGATTAAGTATTAATAGTGTAACATTCATTGAGCATATCACATGGCATTAGTGCCCCATAGAAAATTTCTCACGTGTAAGATTATGTGCATAGTAAAGTTGGCATGGTAGAAAATACATGACGTCCTGCATGTTATATTAGACGTCCGCGTAGAAGAAAATCTGTATTTATAGATCTTCCTTCTAACTTCTAAGGACACCTTCTTCATGTGGACTTAACATGAAAGCTCATTATACAAGGTACGTGCACATAAAAACCCTAGCTAGTAACTTAATCATCTTGCCTTCTCATATGCTTCAGCCTTGCATAGCCTTGTAAGAGCTCAAGTACTGGAGTTAGTGGGCCTTTTCGTAGCCTTTTGCAAAAGGCTATATATAGGTTGATCATTTTAGTTTACCAAGTGTGAACTAGGTTAAATAAAACAAAAGTAATGTCACCTAGTTACTCTACCAGGACCCACATTCATTTTCCCAACACTATAATCACACTAGCTAGTTCAACTATAACAAGTTGTTACAACAAAGATCCAAATTTATAAATTTCCACATACACCAACAAAGAATCCATAAGAATTATAAGAAATATATATTGTTTAGGAAAGGTATCTCATCCATAACTATAGATTTTAAAACTGTCCAAATACAACTTGAAATAATAAAGAATTAGATATAAGACACTACGAGCTAGGCTTTTTTAATTTTTAAAAACTACTAGGGGAGTGCGGAGCAATCGAAACTTAAGAGTCCTCCAACGTTGAAAAGAAAAGTGCCACTAAATTAATACTAAACTATAATAGTTAATTTTGCATATAGCAAGTGGCTGCAACCGCATAGGTTCTTTGTTCAGGGGTTAGGTTGAGGTTAGGGTAGGGATAGAAAATCCACTTTTCTCATAAAATCCATGGAGATCACTTCGAAGTTAGTGATGCATAGAATACCTACCTTAAAAATAAATTACGAATCATTTCATGAAACATTATATGATGCAAGCTAATCATCGAGTGGTTGACTGTTGGAATGTCCTTGTTAGGCACCACACCACGCCAATGTCTCCTTGACTTCCCAATAAATTTTGTGCACCACATATCCAAGTTTTCAATGAGATTGGTTTCCACAGTTGGATTTCCTTTCCTCCATTACCACCTATCTTGCCAAAAAGTTTAAATCGGATTTTCTCATATTCAAACACTTTGCCCAAAAATACTGTTCTGTGGCATGAATGACCCCTTCTAATTCCACAATCAATCATTGGCTCCAAGAAGACAGTATAATTTGTAAAGCAATTCTCTTTCTCAATGTGAGACAGAGACTCACCACCATTAAACATGTTGTCGTTGAGATTTATGAACTGTATTCTTTAAATTTTTTATTTTTATAAAGGGAAGGGGGAACTGTATTCTTTAAATTTTTTATTTTTATAAAGGAAAGGGGGCTTCTCATACACACACACTACTAAGGTGTCATGGAGATTTGAATTTTGAGATCATTAGTCTGCAAGTAAAGATCATTTTTCAATGGGCTAGAGACCAATAGTTGGACACTGTTTAGTCTCACATTCATATACAAACTTTTTGTTTACCATGCATTATGTCATAAAGAAAATTTTATAACTATTTTGGTTTTTGGGTTTTTGGGTTTTTTTTCCTCATACAAGCGATATTAGAGAGAAAAGAATCGTGAATAGAAGACTCTTAACAACTTGAACTACAAGCTCTTATATCAACTTTGTAACTCAACTCATCGTCAATTTGCAAAATCATCATTCTTTTTGTCTAACAAACTATTAAGATAAAAACTTTGGATCGCTCCACTTGCTTCGCACCAGGGCCGCCCCTCCCATTTAATATTGAAAGTTCCAAAGAATAATCAATTAACCCCACGAGCTTCACCCCCTAGGAATCTTTGAACAAATTCAACAAAGAGCAGATATGGTTTTTGAGAATTTGGGTTGCGTTGAGGCCTCTCATGATCTACTTTCTACCCCCTGAATATCGGCTTTTGATGGTAGAAAAAGATTAGGGTAATGAGCTTATAATCATATCCAATCAAAATGCTTGTAGTTTTTCCCTGTCTAGTGGGATATATTATGATATATACGACCATGGATTAATATATCCAAACGACACTGGCGGCTTATATCCGTATGGATCGTATAAAGATTTATATGATGGCACTAGAAAAGATGAAAGCTTTTGTCTTTAAGTAAATGGAGACCTAGTTTAGGAAATCAAAACCTTTCCTTCTTAGTTGCTATTAAATATATAGATTAAGCTAGCTAGCTAGCTACTCATATCACAGAGACTAAAGACATAAGACAAGTTGGGTTTAACTTATGATAAACATATAATGTCAATAGATATCTTATATATTGATCAGTGGGATGCTTTCATTTCATGTATATATTTTCTTCACATATATAATATTGGCAATAAACATTAATAGCGCTTAATCATTGACACATGAGGTGGCTAAAAACATTATTAGTATATCTAATATATAGCACAATAGACACAAATAATCGTGCGTCCATGTTATATCTAGTGTATTTAGCCACCTCATTTTGTGTCATTGATGCCAGTGGCCATTAATGTTTGTTTGTCTAGTAACATTTTTCAGGTTGTTACTCTCCATTAAAAAGGAAAAAGAAGTGAAGTTCATGTTACATCCCCTAAAAAAAGCCTAGTTGCTATGATCATGCTCGAGTTTATTCATATATATATATTCAAACTTTGCTTAAACTTCGCTTTCTTTACTTATTCGTGTTTATTGATTATTGTAAACCAATAACCTATGTCTAGGGTTGGCATATCCAAATCAACCTGATAATAATGAAGCTCACCTTCCTCACCGTCTCAATCATATCCTATGTAGTAGCCAGGGCACTCTTTCTCCCTCCCCCATCTATCTCCATTGGATTTTCTACTTATTTTGGCATTAGTCGGTGCTTAATACTAACCCCCAAAACTATAAAGATATAAAGCGCATTTAAATTCGTAATCCAAGGCCTATAGTTAATGGTCGATGTCAAAAGAAATTATAAAGAAGCGTGAGTAGCGCTCTCTCGTCAGATTGTCAAACTGCGAATCTGAATTACAAATCCTGGCAAAACAATCTGATCAAGTGATCCCAATTGACATAGTCTGCCAACATAAAATCAGCCCAACATTATATTATATCCTCAAATGTACGAATACCTTAGAAAGCTTACACCTTAGTAAGAGTACACAAAAGGAACTTATTAATTAAGGATTATCCATGTTGATTCCTTCCCTCAAAGAAAGGCATTTTGTTCCTCCATAGGCGACCTTATACTATTCTTTTTCTCCTCCTTTTTATTACTATTATATATTGTCTCTTCTGACGTATAAAACAAAGCACTTTTCAAGTATAACAGGAGGACCCTATATATATATATATGAAGGTTCCTTTGGCATTAAAAAACTCTAAGAAGGGACATTGGCCACACTCACTATGGAGGAGAGGTGAGGAATGAGGTCAATGGAAAAATAGATGACCCACTTGAGAAAATAATCAAAAGCAAAAGGCTCCCACTGCTTCCTACCACCCTTCTGAGTGCAACTTCACTACCCAATCACATTGAAAAGCATAAGAAAAATTCCATTCTTTTAATGCTTTTCTTATTATAGTTATGTGATTATGCCTACTACATTGTGATGTGTTATTATAATCCAATAAATGTTTAGTGGCACAAATTGTACCCTAATCTCTCTTTCATCTCAGTTCATACTTCATACAATGTATGACTCCAAATGCTTTAGAATATTAAAACCAAATCTTTAACTCTATTTAATTTCTGAATTTTCTAAAGACTACAGGATGTGCATGGGGCAGGCAAAGGGGCAATGTCATAGACAAGAGGCAAGGTAACTGTCACGAACACATTGTATCATTTAAGTGTTAGATTGATATACATTGTCTATCCATTTTTCTAAAGTGCAATATTTTGGGGTTTACCGGTTGTTTAATATAGTAAGATATATAGTTCTTGCATGTCACATAATCTATGTTTGATATACATTGTTGACTCATTATTTGATAATTTTAAGGAATCATTGTCTAACATTAAATTGTCCGCGAGTACGAACAATGATGCTCTGAGTGGGTTGTTAGAAAATTTTCATATACAAAGGATAAGTAACCCCACATTAGGAATTAATGATGATTTAGTAAATTTAAGTGCTAACAAGAGCTTAGTTATTTGTATGAGTTTAAACAAGCCGACCAAGGCGAATATCATAGTGCTTAAGCTTGGGTTGTTCAAACTCTATCGAGCTTTGATTTGGTTTGATTTGTTTCTTGTATGCCGAGTTGGAACGAGCAAAAAAAAAAATTCGAGCTTGACACGATCGAGCTCAAGTTGTATCGACTAACTGTTGGAAGGTCCTTGCAATTTACTTGGATGTACACCTTCACAAATTACATCAAATTTATATGGTTATAATGATTTCTCTTTTTGAAAGTCTACTTAGCAATTAGAGAACCACTAATTCAAGCAATATGATATGACTATATATATTCCTGATATATATATATACATATCTCAAGTGGTACATGCCTAAGCTTATAGGTGATGTAACCTCTTCATCAAATCCATCTAGACTTTTGACAGAAAGTTGCCTGCAAATGCAATATCTTCTGTAGTATCACATTGTGACGTGTGTGTATATATGCAAAATGGACCACTTAATCCCAAACAAATATTCTCGAGCTATCGATGCCTTTCAAATCGGGGTGAACAAAGATTAGCTATGATGACTTGAAGTGGATAATAATGCTAATTCTGTTCATCTTCTTAATCCTCAATGCCTATATGCCTATATATGTTTGATTTGATTCACATAAAAGAGAATTCTTTTTGACTTTTTTTACAACAAAAGAATATGAGAGAGAGAGAAAAAACAAACAAACAAGAGAAGAGATAATCTTCACATTGTGATGATAGCTAGGGCACCACTTAAACCCTAATTTGTTTTATTTATTTAACCGTCAACTGCTAAAACAGATTCCCATGCATCCACTTTCTATTGCTGAAAGCTACATAAAGCCTTTTGAGCTGCTAGCAAAGTAATTTGACGAACTCCTATAGGTTGAAGGGAGCCAAATTCTCTCACAACCTTAAGATGAGAAGCTTGTGCTTGAAGGGACATGATGGGCACAGAGATTAAATTCGTCTAGTAAGTAGAATATACCTGCTAAAAATTAGAAAAATTAGTGGCACTAAACCCAGGATTGTAAACCTTAGAGCTAGCTATGGGACTAATAGCCTAGAAAAGGTAATTAAAGTAAGAGCAAGCGAAAATTTGAAAGCCAATGAGAAATCCACGAATGATTGTTAATAATGGCTATATTCTTTGGGGGCTTTTAGGTAACATATTTGCATCTCATTACTATCATCACCGATATTGTCGGTAATTTAATCATCTTTATAGTAGGGCATGTGTGAAGTTTTATATAAATGACCTCGATGTCATTATATGTTGTATTTATTTTTGTGAAGTTTCTAATGACTTATGTATTCATGAGTATTTCCTCTTGTATTATTTCAAAAAGACTTGAGTATTATATGTTTTCTTGAAAAGTATATGTTTTCTTCTATTATTTCAAAATGGTAGACTAATAAGTTTGAATTCCATAGAATTTGAGCATTCAATCGAAAACCAATTTAGTGTAAAGGCTTTACTTTTCCGATATGGAATAATACTCTTAACAAAATTAATATTAAGACAACTGTTTAGAAAAAGCTCTCTCTCTCTCTCTCTCTCTCTCTGTGGCAAGGTTTTACAAGAGTACTCTAACACCACTCGTTTGGCACCTTAAACAGAATTTTAAATTGACTATAAACACAGCGCTCCATTAACTTGAGTTGATCATCTAAGATAGAGCATATCAAGACCGAGAAATAAAAATAAAAAACAGACATTGATCAATCCTAATGCACTAACATGTCTATTGCTCCAAAATAGATGGATATCTTCTCGATGCTGTACATTACAACTGTATCAGCAGCAACTGTGCATGACAACATATTTATATATTCTGTTGAGGAATCAAGTCCAATTATTCTTGACACTGTGAGAGGAAACCTTTAGCTGCTTTAACAAAGTGTGAATGGATGCTTGTCACATCTTTTCAAAGTTTCTGGTGAGGAAAAGATTGGGTCAAAGTCCCTTCTAATCTTCACACTATGATTCCTCTTTCAAAGCTCATTTCAAAATGGCTGGGCCTTTTTTCCACCTTTTTCTGCATGCTCTCTCCCATAACAGAAGAACCTCTTTGAAGGTACTTCTTGGGACACTCAAAAGCTGTTTGTATATGTGCATTAAGTATGTACTATATGTGTGTTTCTGTATGTGTGTGTGTGTGTGTGAGAGAGAGAGAGAGAGAGAGGAGGGTTTTATTGTCATTTTCAGTAAGGCCAAGGGCAAACTAGGTGCATGCTTTCAATAAAGGTGGGGACACTGATTTGGGTTCTCACATATCAACCTTTAGTGAAAGAATCAAGCAATATATCATCTCCCAAATGCATATTTAAACCTTCACACCCAGTTGTCCCATGGAAGCCAAAACACTTCCTTAATTGTTACACAAACATGGCCACCACCACCACCACCACCACCCAAACTTCTGCACCCAACAACACCACCACCATTTGCTTCTCCAAATATCTCCATTCCCTTTCTCAAACACCCCACAGGCTTAGGAAGAGAATGCTGGCCACATGGACCCCTGACCAAGAGCTCAACCAAGTGAGGCAAAGGTCTGGGGCAGAAATGAAAAGGAAACTCAAGTGGTATGATTTGATGGCCCTTGGTGTTGGAGGAATGCTTGGTGTTGGAGTCTTTGTCACAACAGGCCAAGTAGCCTTCCAGACATCTGGCCCTTCTGTCTTCATATCCTACATCATTGCAGGAATATCAGCCCTTCTTTCTTCCTTGTGTTACACTGAATTTTCTGTTCAAATCCCAGTTGCTGGTGGTGCCTTTAGTTATCTCAGATTGACCTTTGGTATGAACCATTAGATCCGTTGTTACCCTATTTGGTCATAAGGGTTCTAGCTAAATATATCAATTCTTCATTTTCTGTTTTCTTAATTACTTTCATTTTTATGTGAAGGTGAGTTTGTGGGTTATTTTGCTGGGGCTAATATACTCATGGAGTACGTATTGTCAAACGCTGCGGTTGCAAGAAATTTTACTGATTATTTATCCTCTGCATTTGGTGAAAATGATCCAAGGACATGGAGAGTAAAAGTAGATGGTTTGGTGGAGGGCTTTAATATGTTGGACTTCCCAGCTGTTGCTCTTATTCTTCTTCTCACTCTCTGCCTTTGCCATAGGTTTTGATCTGTTCCTACCTATTTGTTTGCTTACTTCTAGTTCTACCTTATATTGCTTTCCTATTTTCACAATCTAGGTGCCCTACAAATTGCAACTTGCTAGACCTTTTTAAGGAATGAGTTGGTGGGCATTTGGATTATTTAGTGTTATATATATCTTCTTTATATCAGTTGCCAAGTTTTTTTTTTTTATAATACATTATCATTGCAACCATCACCATTACTGTTGTTGATAATAATTTCCTAAAGTGTTATTGGGTTATCAAGTGATGGTATCTTTTGTTTCAGTGGATTTTTAAAATGATGGGTGATATATTAATTTCTTTTGGGATTGCAGCACAAAGGAAAGCTCCCTGTTGAATCTTATTATGACAGTCTTCCATGTGGTTTTCTTTGGATTTATTATAATTGTTGGCTTCTGCAATGGGAGTACCAACAACTTGGTGAAGCCTAAAGGACTTGCTCCTTATGGTGTTAGAGGTGTTCTTGATGGGGCAGCTAAAGTTTACTTGAGCTATATTGGCTATGACTCAGCTTCAACCATGGCAGAAGAGATCCAAAACCCTTCAAAGAACTTGCCAATCGGAATAGTTGGCTCCGTTGTCATCACCTCCGTGCTTTACTGCCTTATGGCCTTGTCCTTGTGTTTGATGGTTCCTTACAACGAGGTAAAGTAATTAAGAACTTGTTACTTCATCAAATGAACTAGCAGGAACACTTTCTACCATATAACGAGAAAATTTCCGATATAGACACCGGCATGTTTTAGCCTACATACACAAAAATGATATGAATGAAACATGGTAGAAAGACACAATTAACTAAAGTGTTTTGTTCTGAGCAAATACTGCAGCTTCCTAATGATTTGGAATTCTTCAAATGGTTCATAGATATCAAAGAATGTGGCATTTTCAATGGCTTTCAGACAGATTGGTTGGGAATGGGCAAGTAATCTGGTTGGGGCAGGTGCAAGCTTGGGGATTGTGGCTTCACTCTTGGTTGCCATGTTAGGCCAAGCTAGGTACCTTTGTGTTATTGGAAGGGCCAGGCTGGTGCCTTCATGGTTAGCCAAGGTGCATCCTTCAACAGGCACACCCTTGAATGCCACCCTCTTCTTGGGTAATTAAGTAAATCTTTGCATATATGATTTTATAATTGCTTTGCTTATCCATGAATCATTATTCCATGTGCATCCCAAGATAGAAATAACACTCATAAGTGTACGTAGATGGTAAATTAGTTGTTACAAAAACATTCAAATCAAAATATGAATATGTAAATGTATATGGTTTTTTTTTTTTTTTTATTTTAATCAAAGCCAAAGCTTTACCTTCAATAAGAAAATGTCACTTTCATCACACATCCTTATGTGGAAGGTTAAGTTTATATATAACCGACGCATATAAAAATTTCACCGAGGGTGGGTAGACGACCTGCCAAGTTATATATCAAGCACTTATTCAACACTTACAACAAGAATTCGACTCTTTATATGCATCACCTTTAATCTTTTTGAAGGATCCATATTAATTAAATTTATAGGAAAAGTTGATCTCCCATTATATGACTTGTTAGACAACCAAACATTGCTATGGAAACAGAACTAAAACATTGAAACTTCCTTGGTTGACGTATGTTTCCACTTCCAAAGCTACACAAAATGGAGGGAAGAACATAGAGAATAATTTATAACCCCTCTTTACTCATATACTTTTAATATATTATGCTTTTATTGGTGTGAAACATGCATTCATTTTGCCAATAAATTCCCACTTTTTCTTTTTTCTTTTTTCTTTTTCTTTTCCCTCAATTACATCATATATGAACATCACTAATTAAGTTCTCATCAAATCATACAAACACAGAAACAGTTGAAGAAAAAACAGTATAAAACCAGAGACAACCTGATAAATCCTTTTGTCTTCCTATGATGCAGGACTTTGCACAGCATCAATTGCACTCTTCACCGACCTTGAAATAGTTATAGACATGATCTCCATCGGGACGCTGTTGGTGTTCTACCTTGTGGCCAATGCTCTCATTTACCGGCGATATGTGACCATTAGCAACAACCCCCCATTTCAAACTCTCTTGTTCCTCTTCCTCCTCTCATCTAGTGCCATTGGCTTTGCCATGTCATGGAAGTTTAAGCAACAACGCTGGGGGCTACCACTTTTCGGAGTGTCTACGATCACCATCATTGCCTTCTTCAACTACACAGTTCCTTGCCTTCGCCATTCCACCGGGTGGTCGATGCCCTTCATGCCATGGCCTGCTGCACTGTCTATCTTTCTTAATGTGTTTCTCATGACAACAATGACGAAGTTCTCATTCCAACGGTTTGCGATATGGGCATGTTTGATAACATTGTTCTATCTGTTGTATGGTGTTCACTCAACTTATCAGGCAGAGGAGATGGGGACTGGTGAAGATGAAGTGGATCCAAGCTCAGCTGTGCAACAAACAAAGCTAGACAACATTCAAGTGCTTTGACTAATTATGTTTATTGTCTTTTACTTCTTTTTTATCTGGTTTTTTTTGTTCTCATGCAGTTTTTGTGGTACTTAACTTGGGTTCAGGGAATTCCAATCAAGCAAAAAGGAATTCCAATCAAATAGAATGACAAAGTTAACTGTGCATAGAAATGCCACAGCAAAAGACCAGTGTTATCTGAATCGAGAAATGATACGGTACCTGTAATATAATAAACGATACGATATGTGTAATGGGAACTGATAGGGGGTTTGCTAGTTTCTGTGGTACATGTTCGTCAAAGATAGAATTACTTACCATCATCATGAAACTCTTAATGGGAGTGGACAAGATGATTGGGGTCATTCAGCAAGTAATGATGGAGACACTAAAGAACCTCAGGATCCAATATAAAGAAAGAGGGAAATTCCTCTAGCAAACTCAACTCTTCATTTTACTAAAATCTCCTTGTCAATAATGAAAACACAACTAAACTATGCTTTGTTTGTCTTACATGGATGGTAGAGCTACTCTTGACAATCCTCACCACATAATTAGAGAGATCATGATTCTCTCATATTAAGAAAGATTATGAACCTTTCTTGAGAAAGCTCAAGAGTGTTTGTCTGCATATCAGCGGTCTCAAATTCGAAGTCCAACTGCACATCCTCTTCTCCCTTCCAAACTTTGACAGAAAAAAAAAGAAAAAAAAAAGGGCTAAATCTTTTTTGAGATTCACTGGTTCAGACTTGGCCCAAAGTCCATTCTGGATATTTAAGATTTGGATTTAGGGAGCCAAGCCCAATCCAAATTCAGTATCTCTAAATATCAAAATGGTTAGGCCTTTTTGCCTACGTGTGAGAATTGACTTTAGCCCAGTTCTTTATATATATATTTGTTTTTTTTTTCATTGTTTTTTAAGTACACTTGAGAAGAATTTACTTTGTCCACAGAAGGGTGCTGAAATGGAAGAACTTTGTATGTTTTTCTTTCACTAACTTATCATTTGGTTAGGCGAATGCAACTACTCAGGCTTCACTTGTAAACACAATCTGTAATTAATTTTAAAATTACCTTCAACTGGAATTTGTTTTAACAGTCCCATTCACCTGGACACCAGGGTTTGTTTTAACAGTCCCGTTCACCTGGACACCAGGGTCAAGGGAACATCGTAATCACTTGCCGTTAAATCTCATCTAACGGTAAATACTGCACAAGCCCTCAATTTAAGAAAAAAAAAATAACTTTAATATTTAAAACACAAACTGAAAGTTCAATTATAATTATACCCAAAAAATAATGAATGCTTAACCCCATCCACTCCTCTCACTCTCACCGTCTGCCCCTTTCCATCCCCAGAAAAGCCTCCTTCCTTTTAATGGGTGGCTGGTTCTCTCTCTTATTAATTTCTGGTTTTAAGTTTTATGATTTCAGTTCTTACAGAACTATGTAGGTTTCCAGAAATGAGTTCAGCACCTTCAAGATTTAAAAATTTTCAATACAATTCTTGTGTTATTCTGGAAAGCTGTCCAGAAAACCATAATACAACACAAGAAATCATAATTTCAGAATGAGATTCTGTAGGTTGGTAATAAAAGCTGTAAATATCTAACTATACAATGAGACCTATAAAAAGTATGTTCGAATCCTTGGATTTGCCGAGATATTTTGAAGTACAACAATTTCTATAGAAGCGTTCATAAGTCGAGATCGTATTAAAAAACTACAAAATTTTCGAAAATGGAGATGAAGAGTGTGCAAGCAACCTGTTTGTGGATTATGGTACTTTTAATATCGACTTCATATGCAAGTGCAGATGATCAATCAATGTTACCAAAATTGCATTGGCACCTGTACATTGCTTACTGCAGCTATGTGTGTCAACTATGCTTGGGGCAACATCAAAGCTCCTAGGCCCCAATAATTATGTACAATGCAATGTGGTTGGAACAAGGCACATTTTGGTATGCTTGGGCTGGGGCAAGACACATTTATGATGTTGCCTAGCCCCCAACAATTATGCATTGATTGATGAGATAATTACCATTATTTCTCTTTTATATATGGAAATGATTGATTATGAGCTCATTTTGCCTCATTGCCAAAACCATAACTTATAAAGAAGAGGGCATCTAACAATATAGAATTGAAACACAAATGCATTTCACTGTTAGAAGATTAAAGTCATAATCCCACAAGTCTACCAACTAACATCTTCCAAACCTTGAATCTGTGAATCAGTCACAAAAGAAATTAGCCAAATTCACCAACCTATAACAAGTAAGAACATGAGCCTACAAATCTTACTTGTTGTCAAGGCACATCATCCATCCTATTATACAATCCTTCTCATTTACCTACACAACACAAAACATGAAAAAATCATTCATCAAATTTAAAAAATAAAAATAAAAAGAAGTGGAACATGAGGCTGATTTAGCATTCAAATCAAAAGAGAACTTACAGAATGAAGAGCAAAATAGCAGGTTGCCTCAGCCCCATATCTAGGAATCAGATGACACCACCTTCATCTTCTTCTTCTTCTTCTTGCTTTCCAACAATGCATCCACACAGGCAGCCAAAACCTGCTTCTGTGACTCCATTATAAGCTCATTCTGCCTCATTTCCATCTCCATCCTCATCTTTACAATATCCCTTGCCGTCTCCATCTTCTTCTTCTCCATCTTCAAAAACACTTCTCCCATAAACTCAACCGATGAAGCCATCTGTCCAATCGGATCTTCCACCTCTTTCCCAACGCCATCAGAATCCAAACCCCCTCTGAACTTCTTATAAAACCCACTTCTTGTACCAGCTCCATAGCTGCAATCACGCTTCAAGTTCAGCTTGGGGCTAAACTTCTCATTACAAGTTTTGCCATAACTCTTGCTCCTAAATTCTGAAGGGCCCAAATTCCTATCACCCGAAGATTTTACAGGAAACCCACGAGCCCCGTCATTTCTACCACTCATATATCGATCAAAACCAGCTGAAAAGCTAGAATTCTCCCCTCCTCTACCACGAACACCGACGTTGACCCGAAACCCACCTCCAAAGCCAGCACCTTTCCGGGTTTCCTCATCTGGGTCGCTCAAGTTCTGATCAGATTCAGCCAAATACCTATCATTTTCATCCTTTCTCACCCGAAACCCACGTCCAAATTGAACACCTACCCGGGTTTCCCGATCCGGGTCGGACCCAAAAAGCGCAGGAGCCTCACATTCCAAGTCAAACATGTGCCGAAAAAGATCCCAGGTAGAGAGAAACCGACCCGGGTGCGTTGAACCGCGTTGTTTCTCATTCCGGTAGCGCTTCCGGAGCTTCTCCATCTTGTGGCGGCACTGTATGGCGGTCTTGGGCGGCGATACTAGCGGGCACCGGCTAGCCAGGGCGGCGGCCACCGTTTCCCAGTCGGAGGCTCTGAGATTGGATCGGCCGAGAGCGGACCAAGTGTCCTTGTAGATGGAGATCAGGGCTTGCGCTTCGTCGTTGGTCCAGCAGGGTGGCGGGAACTTGCGGGGCTTAGGTTGGGGGAGCGCGGCCATGGCGGGTTTGGGTTTGGGTTGGGGTGTAGGATAAGGAGGAGGGGAGCGTAGGTTAGGAAAGGAAGGAAGGTTGTGGTGGTTGGGAATGGCATTGTTGATTTAATGAGGGAGAGAGAGAGAGGTGGGGGCAGTGGAGTGGGTAATGCTAACGTGCGCAGGTGAAGCGGTGCGCAGAGTCTGTAAGGCTACGAGAGAGAACTATACTCTCCGCCCCTATAGGCCAATTTGTACCACCACGCCCCTACTGACAGTCAGCTGAGCCCACGCTACGGAAAAAAGTGCTTTTTGTGTTTGTGGGGGGACAGGCGGTGGTTGCTTCTGCTCTGGCTTCAAATTGGCTTTGGGCTTTTAGCTCAAGAAAGGGGAAAATAAGAAAAAGCACTTTCTGATTTGGGGGTTTTTTATTTTTTAGGTCTGACCTGATCTGGGATTGGGCCTCAGAAAGCAAAAATGTGAAAAATGTAACAAAAAATTTTGAACCCGACGTGAATCGAACACGCAACCTTCTGATCTGGAGTCAGACGCGCTACCATTGCGCCACGGATCCCATGTTGATGGCTTCCTGCATCTTTTGCTATATATTAGATTCGCATAAATTCTATTCCAAAATCCGCATTGATGTTGAGTGTTTCATGCATCATTTATCAATCTGATATAAATTCCATGATTTGTCTTATTTTTGTATAAATCTTTTCTTCAAAAATTCTAACTAAACTTCATGTGCAAATCTACAGTATTTTCTTCCTTCTGGTCTTTTGTTAATTTCATTATGGAACTTTTTCTTCACCATATGCACCATTGGTCTACTGAAAGAAACCATCTTTCGGTATGTTAAAATGGGATTAAGCCACTGTAATTGTGCCCTTCTCCCATGCCATGAACACATTTATCATTTCGAGTCGTAGGAATGTCATGATGATTAGATGAAGCACAATTGGGATTTGGACCGGTGAGGGGGGTCTGATAATTAGTCTGTCATTTGTCTTAACTTAGTAAAACTGACAAGATAAAATGCAGCTGAAGAAAGGGGGAGGGGGAATTCCTCAAAGGTCATGCCTTTTTATGTATACAAAATTTCATTATTCCAGAAGAACATAAATAAATCTATAAGAAGTGACGAAGGAAACAAAACTGCAAAAGCTTACGCAGCAGAACTACCATTGATCTGAAACTCATTCTTAGATCTTAACCTGTCTTTCCTCAACCTATCTGCTATTAAAAAGGCCAGCTCAAGTGACTGGGATGCATTCAGCCTGGGGTCACAATGTGTGTGATAGCGAGAGGTCAAGTCATTGGCGGTCACAGTCTTCGACCCTCCAATGCACTCTGTCACATTCTGCCCAGTCATCTCCAGATGCACTCCTCCGGGATAGCTCCCTTCTTGTTCATGGACATCAAAGAAAGCTCTCAATTCAGCCTGAGGCAAAGAAGATCACCTCCAAGTAATCAGTAAAGTAGATGAGCAACTCACAACTCACATTGTGCTAAAATATATAGAATAACCAGAGTTTTAGTTCCACGGATTTAGTACTTACCCTGATTGCATCAAATGGCCGTGTCTTCAGCCCACATGGAGCCTTTATAGTGTTCCCGTGCAT